TATGTTCCCATTAATCCAGCAATTAAAAGGGAAGCTGTTCAGACATAAAGGGTTTCGTTCCGAAATATCCGAAAATTGGTTATAAAGGTTATTTATAACACTGTATCTATTGCAAGACTACTTTTTACTTCGTTATATCGAGGTATGAGTGTATTTTGGCTGGAATGATAAAAACTGCCACGACTATGCATTTTTATGTGCTGATGTAGAATATCAACTCAGTTGTCATGTATGCTATGCCACTAATATTGAAATATATTATTTAAGCGTAACATCTGATTGCGTTTTTAATAAACTGGTTACACACATCTTTCCGTAAAAATAATCGCTGAATTCAGCTTACGTCAATGGGTGCAACAAGCACAATGTTATGGTCCCAACTTTTCTAGAACAAAAGTTTCGAAGCTTCACAGTTCATGGCAATGACTTAGGAAAAGTCTGGTCTTTTTTTTCATCCCCGTTTCATCCTTTTTTGAACTGCCTAACTTTCCAAAGTTACATTTGGAATCCTATTGCACTCTAATTCGTCAGCTTTCCAGCACATCAAAAATGATCAAAATTAAGTGCACCGGAACTGAGAAAAGCTTGTGAGAAGATTGGAGGGCTGCAAATGAATTAAATTTAGAATATAGCAAACAACTTAACTCCATAGGTCTCTGATGTCACATGAAATGTTGTTGTAGCCAAAACAATGATCTCTGATGCATGGAAATTGGCGAGAGTATGCATCAGTAGGTGGCATAATGTAGTACTGATGTTTATTTTTTGCAAATTTTGGTTTCAAAAAGCAGCATCCCCATTTAGGCTTCATTTCATGCTAAGATACACATTTAATTAAGAGACAAATGAATTGGACTAGTTCATGATTTCTTGTTGAGCTGCAGAGGAGACGAGGACGACACAAGTTCCACAGGACAGGCGCTGCACTAACTCACATCTTGCGATATGTATAGTTCAACAATCAGATAGGATGCATGGGGTGAAGGGCCGGACAGTGAAAAGACTAAAAGTAAACAAAGATAATGCACGCATATGGCATCTGCCATTGTAAGCACAGACAAATTTTTCGCAAATCAGCGCGAGTCCCTTTCTAAATTGTTATTTCTGCCTGCTTTGAACGTAACGAGAGTATGCTGATGCATTTATCTTTTGCAGCTAAAATGAGAAGGGCTTCTCTTATCTCTCTGGTGTCTTTGCCACCACTACGTGCTAACCGCGTGGTGTTGTGCAACAAGATGTGCAAGATACGCTTGCGTATAATGGACTAAATCTGTGTTTGTCATCTCTCCAGGAATACCGCCCCACGTCGACAGCCACGAATCCTTTGATGACTGACATTGTGCTTCTCAGCCTAGGCTCCCCGATTGTGATGAACTTTCGGCACTCCGATGGCCGGCAAGCGGCGCAGGTGCTGCCCCCTCGCAGCGCGCTTATTTTGTCCGGCGACAGCCGCTACGTGTGGACTCATGGGTGAGTTAGAAACGCTTACCAGACTGGTCTTCCAAGGGTGTGCTTCTTACCACGACCTACTCCTGACCTACCCAGATAGCAGGCTCCTCTAGGAGCGCATGCTCCTGCTCTCAATAAACCGCTCACCGTTGGTGACGCTACCTATAGCCTGTTCGTCTGATACTTTCCGGTCATTTGGATGGTGCTGGGTTAAGAATGCCAGCATTCTGCAACAAACTGCCGGCATATACGAGACTGTTTCTGCAAACTTAGACGGCGAGTCGAGCAAGCTATCCAGTGCGGTGAAGTACTGTTAATTGCGCACTGGTTGAGTAAGCTATCCAGTGCGGTGAAGTACTATTAATTGCGCACTGGTTGACTAACGTGGGAAGCCAAAAACTGGCATAGTGTAGGACAGCCTATGTCCATTCCATTCGAATGCATAGAATTTCTGAATCACCTGTAGTATACTTATTGCTTATGTGTCTTGCATATATGCATAATAAGTGCTCACTACGAGCGCTCTGTTGGCAGGAATATCACCATGAGCACTGAAGCTGACGTCAGTGAACAGATGGTCACTAGCGCTTCGCTGCTTGTAGGTTACATTCCTAGTAGCGGAAGGTATGAACATGGGCACTAGAAGAGGGACATCTGGACAGGTCGGCAGTACAGTAGGCCCTGCTTCATAAGCTGCTTTCCGAGCAAAGATTTGCTGTATCATAGCTGGCCTTGTATGAACACCAACTCCAACAGCAAGATTTATGTAACTATTCTTATGCTTGCTTTATTTTATTTCCTTGCATTATCTTTGGGGTAAGCTTGTCTTTTTGGTCTGCTGCAATGTGCCGTGCCCCTTCAATACACATATGTATTTGAGAATATACGTGTGTTTCTGAATACATTATAGGAAGAAGAGTACTTGCATATGTTTGACATGACGAACGATTCATTAGGTATGCTACAAATATTAAAAGACAGGTAACACAATTGATCCTGTAGAAAAGGACATTGCGGTCTCTGGTTGCTCTGGGAAGGAATGACGTAGCAAGCATGGAGAATGCATCCGTATCCCACCAACAGACTTTGGAGACCGACGAGGCCGAGTGTTTTTACGTCGTGCTTTTCCTTGCGCACCCAGGATCGCGTCACGCAAGTTTGACAGTCGTTCCAAGATCCGACGGATTGGACAGAGGCATAACTCTTTCCCAGCGCGGCATCCGGATTTCGTACACATTCAGACACATACGAAAGGGGAGTTGCAGATGTGGTAAGTGCCATTGTCTAAAGTTACAGCTTCACATCTTCATCATCATCAGCTCGACTACGACCGTTGCAGGGCAACGCCTCCACCCTCACCCCCCTCCCTCGTTTTCAAACAACCCATTGCGCCCACTTTCGAAGCAGGACGTAGGTGTGAAAGTTTTAACGAAAGGCCTACTGTAACGACGTTAGTGTTTGTTTTAGCCACCCTAACCTGACAAAGGTCCATCATTGGCCATTGTTGTGTTTTAGATGTAGATCCTGTCGAATTATTCGAAACTTCAAAAACTATAGCTCTCCAAAAGTCGAACCTGAATTCGAAGCTTGAATGTTTGCACACCCTAGTGACAAACACAATGCCTTTTTTTTTTTTTTTAAATGAAATAAGCTTCCCACAAGTTTAAAAGTGTTGTTCCCCATGCAAGCTGGCAATAATAGAGATAACGAGTGAAAAAGTAGTTTTAGCTGGTAAGATGATTAACATTAATGCTGCAATTAAGGGGGATATTCCAGCAATAGCAGCTAGTCGAGTTAGTCTTTATTCACATAATCAATATAATTGTAACGGTAACATAATCACTATTTCTTCATAAGATCCACCGAATAAATTATTGCAACTTTTTAACCTGAAATAGCAGAAGTTTTACTTAAGAAGTTTTGTAATTTTCTTATTTGTTCAATAGAAATATTTTTAGCACTAGATCTAGCTGAAGTTTCCCTAGCAATGAAACGCGGATGAAATAATGTTTTTGGAATATATGAAGTAAATCCCTTTACAACGTGGCTTCACAGCATTGTGGAGCACTATGCGTTAATCTAGTTAACATATGCATGTCGACGGTAACCATTTCACCATTTTTGCAGGAAACGCCTTGCTTTGCGACTCTCATCGTTTTGGGTAAGTTGCCATCTTTAAATGCATAGATAGAAGTTCTTCAATTAACATCATCTTTACGCTTGATCGCTTGCTTATCATGAAAAGGTCCCGCGGATAGTAGCGACTCCTGTTGCACTGCGGCTCATTGCAGTGTTTGAATGTGTTCCAAGTCTGGCACTTCTTTAGGTTCCAGATGTTCCGGCCTTCTAAGTTTTTTTTCGAAGGAAAGAAAGTTGGAGGCCCAAAATAATAACAATAAAAATACATCTGGTATGTACTCTTTGTAGAATTAGCCTTTCTGTTTTTCCAAGTAACACGCCTTCAGTCTTAAATCTGTTCGGCAATGCCCTAACAAGAGCAGCACTTTGTATTTTTTAACACGAATGCTCCAAGCTGAAGCTGCTTTCAGCAATCTACAAAGACCCCTAGACGAAGCTTACATACATTTTTGTTCGTGCTGTACTACAGGAACCAGGACAATGCAACTGCCCTGAGACTAGAAACGGAACATGTCTACAAGGTGAAAAATTTTTTTTTATCAAGGGAGCAGTGCACAGAGAAGGGGATAGACGGCAGTGTTGTCTGTGGTTTTGGTTGACACAGAGCTAATATACCTCTCAAATGCGAGAAATCTTGGTCAGACCTCGTCATCAGCTATCTCGTCTCAAGCCCCTTTGGTCATGTGCAGTAGTGTACTGCTGTTTGAGCTTTCACTTTCTCGAATAATGAATTTGGTTGTTGATAATTGGCACTGTTCTTCGCCCCATTCTTGTGTTCCATCCCTGTACACTGTTGTATGTACCTATCATAGCTGAAACTCAATTGAAACTCAAACTGCCCAGAGCCACTTGTCAAGTCAAAGTGCTACCTGCTTGGGTGCACAGCTTCTTCAAAATTAAACCGATATCGTGACTACGGTGGCTATATGTAACAGCGCGACTGCATTACAGCACAGCCTTATGTCCAAAGCTGTCTGTGCAGGAAATTGGAAAGGAATCGGAGCTTTTTGCTTACTTTCAAAAGAACTTTGTTAGATTAGGTGGAGTGCCACGAAGGCTTTGTTAATTCAAATTGATGACAACATTGAACCCCGTGGCTACCTGACGAGGAATGTAAATTTCTTTGTTAGACCGGAAAATTAGTAAAATTTGGTTTCGTTAGATCAAGTTTTAGCTGTACTATGCGCCTACCAGCCCAAGCCATTGTAGTGTAAACAAGATCTTTCCATTAAAAAAGTCGGTGCTCAAGACCCGTATTAGCAAACCATCCTCAGCCTTACCTCAAGCTTTTATTATCGGTTGTAAGCCTTTATGCGCTTGGTACACAAAGTAGTCCAGTATTCATTAACCAACCTTGTTGTAATCTTTTACCTCATTACCATTTTTATGCCTTTACAACACATGTAGAGGATACGTAAACTTGAGGAAAGCTCTAGATCAAGGTTGGTTTGTGAATTAAGACTTTGGCCTGAGAACTGGCATCATTCAGACTGAAGGTCTAACGCATTGTGCGCACAGGTCTACGAAAACATAGCAGAGCAGTTCAGCGACACGAGGTATAAGCAGTGGCCCCGGGTGGCAGAGTTCCTCGACTCCTTGGAACAGGGTTCGCTCTTGCTCGATGCTGGCTGTGGCAACGGAAAGTACCTCACGCATCACAGCAAGCTCGTAAAGGTAGGTGGCCCTCGGAGCTTCTCACATCGAAGTTGTTTCAGTGCACGTCGTGAATCAATTTGTTTCGCAGCTGCTGGACAGACGTTTGCGTTGCTTTTTGTGCGCAATTCTTACTTACAACAAAATTGCGCCAACTTGAAGGTTGTGTACAGAAAAAGTGCTAAAAATTTTAAATGTGGAAGCCTTAAATTTTTAGCAGTAGGTGCGAGCCACAACAGCGTAACAAGATACATTTGACAACTTTTCGGTCAAGTGCATCCATCAGAGTGCCGAAAGCAAAAAAATACGACACATATTCTTTGGTACACCACTGCTCGAGGTTGAAGAAGTTGGATGAAAAATCTTTTTTTTTTTTTTTACAACTGTTTTGGAGCAGTGCAAAACAGGATTTTTTTTTCCACCTTCATCGTACCACCCCACGTCAATCACAGCATGACCTTGTCTAACTGGAGGTACCCTTTTGGCAATGCGCTGTGGGACCTGTCCTTAATAGGTATTGTGCATGTGTTTATCGTGAAAAAATGGATATTGATTGATTGGCATTTATGCTATCATAAAAATTATAAAACACCTGAGCTGATTGGCAACAGTTTACTTCAGATGAAACAAAAAAAAAGTGTTAAGAAATCTCTCGCATGTGCATGGTGTTTGTTCAAAGTACAAATACGTAAAAACACACAGCCGACTAAGCACGAGATCATCACTAAACGCCCTCACATGTAGACACCCTCTGCCTGTGACAAGGCTTGGCTGATGTGCACGTCACCTTCGATACATATAAAATGCTTGCCTGAAGTAAAATAGTATGAACAGATATTGCTTTTTATTTTTGTTCTCTATGAAGCTGGGTTTCGACCGTAGCCAAGGCCTTTGCAACATTTGTCGGCAGCGAGGACTGGAAGTTCTTCAAGCCGACACGTTGCAGATACCATTTAGAAACGGTGTCTTTGAGGCGTGCATCAGCATTGCTGTAATACATCATTTGTCCACCGTGGTAAGTAAACATATTATCCATTGTGTTGTTCAACGAGGTTTCGTGCCAATATCTTTTTCTGCGTGCTATTGGCACAATAGAAAAGCAACAGTGGTGCGAGATGTTAGCTTACTCTGAAGACTCCTTGCACTTTGCGAAAATGTACCTGTTAGTGCAGTCATCGGATACAATTGAACCCCAGTATAAGAAACACTGATATAAGAAACAGTTGGATATAAGAGACACCAGTGTGCCCACATTGAAATAGGGGGTTGATAAAGAAACTGCATATGTGGTATCCTGCTTGTAAGAAATGCTAATTGCTGGCCTGTGCATGTTTCTTATAAAGGGCTTCAACTGTAATAGCAAATACTTTCTTAAATAATGTAGCTAACTCGTGCTTCCAAAGACTTCATTACAATGTTGCATATATCAGGACAGTCGTGCGTTTGTCCTGCCTACCTGAAATCATCAGAAAGGATGCTCAGTTGAGTCTTCTGGTGATTCAGCAACAAGAAAACTCAAAACTGGGTGGTGCAAAGTAGAAAGAAGCACAGTAAGAGAAGCATAGTTGGGAGAAGTTTGCGAAGCTTTGTGCCGACTCGCTGATTTACTTGCACGTTACCTTTACCGCATTTTAATGTAGACCATATAGCTATTGTGTGATCGTACTAGATTGCCTTGGCCTTCAGGCTAATTGAAGTAGTGCTGACACATCGCAGCCACATTCACCCCTTAATCAGCGCTTGATATTTTTCTCACCAAAACTAAACAGGAGCGTCGACAGGCAGCAGTGCATGAAATACTACGCGTGCTGAGGCGTGGTGGACGCGCACTCGTTTACGTCTGGGCCCTGGAGCAGAACAACCCCAGTGGCGACGAAAAAAACTCCCCGTCGAAATACCTCAACCCCAACAAAGCAGCTGCGGTGGACTGCGGTGAACCTGTGGAGGCTCCGGAAAGTGCATCACTGCCTGTACATTGCAATCGGACTCAGTTTCAGGCCCGTGACATGCTGGTGCCCTGGCATTCCAAGAGCACACAAGAAACCCACTACAGGTGAACCATTATTCAATTTGTCTTTGGGACATTTTGATAAAGCAGGTATACTTTTCGAGTGCAGTTTTATTTTTACAGTCACACTATATACCTATGACTAGGTTATGGAGGATGGCGTCCCTGGATGAAGCGATTAATTCAAACAGATATCAGAGTATTCGAATTCGCTTCAATTCAAATTTAAATTATTGGAAATTTTAAAGTATTTGATATGAATTAATTTGAATATATTATTCCACACTTGACCCCTTGCAAAGCTGGTTTCGCTGCAGCGAAGGGGTGCTATATTGTGAAAACACCTATCCAGAGAGAGTCCGCACTGCCACAAAGCTCCATCTTAAGGCTAAATGAACACTTTACCCTCGCATCGATTCATCATCTTTTTTTAGGTTTAAAAGCTTGTTATACCAGCTTAAATGCTCTAGGTATAGTAAATTTTAAAATGTGACATGTTTTACGGGTTGTCACTTGCATTCTTCCGAAAGTCGTATTCTGTTACTGTTTACAGTTCCTTCCACTTCCCTTTGAACGAAAAAAAAAAAAAAAGACATTTGTACATGTCGTTAATACTTTTAAAATTATTGTGCAGATTGGTTGGGCCACAACAAATCTGCTCCTTTACAATATCATATATATTATCCAAATTCAATTCGAAATTATTCGACAAGATCACCATTTGCTTCAAACCAAAAAACCAAAAATTTTTTGCACAAGCCTAAAGATCATGCGTGGAACAATTTTCAGTGCCCCTCGCCCTTGGCAATGCCTCTTTCGCAAGTGTCTCGGTACTCGGCAGTGGCACTGCTCTTCAGTAACTGTGCCCGTTTGTCTTGTCATGTAGGTATCACACTAGCACTTTAATCAGCAGTTGCCCTTTGGACTTGCTACGGGATGAACACGTGTTGTTCCCCTCGAGGAAGAAGAGAGAAAGTTGAGGCCACGCCAGCTAAATGCAAGTTCGAATAGGCATGAAAAATGACGGAAAGTTGTTCCTTGCAACCTTCACAGTAGTGGAATGGCCTTAAATTTTTTTTTTTTACTTGTTCTAGTCAGTGTCAGCAAGCTACTTCTCTTGTTAATATGTTCACGTGTACAAGAATAGTTAGATACAAGCATATTTCAATGAAAGAAGCGAGCTTTCACACAGCTGAAACACATTACGATTATATGTTGCTTAAAGCAGCGGCATGTTTAGTTGGGTACAAAACCCGTGTATGCATCAGCGTGTGAATTCCACTGATGGTAAAGTTATGGCACATTGTAGTCATTTAGAATGATGCCCTATATCACAGTGGGACCACAAATACTTTGTAATAAAAAAGAGAGTTTAAAAGGGACACTAAATAGGTACAATGACTTCATTTATATTTACAAACTGCATTCCGATAAATTCTAATGCCATATCTTTCATTATTAGAGGAGAAAATCAAGGTTAAAGTTTCATTTTTAAATTTCGTCCTAAAGTATTCGCAAGAGACATGATATTTTAAAATGTATTTTCGCTGTTTTCATGACATTGGCTCAATCAAGTCTTCTGAAACTTTGTGTGCTAAGTTTGTGACACCCACAGATTACAATGCACTTCATTTTTATCGATTGGAAGCGATGTAACACCCAGTAGACACCTTCAAAATTTCTTAGGTCATGGTGCGGCAGTCGCAAGGTGACGTCGCCATGCTCCCGCATTTTCTCGCTTACTAAGCGTCGTGTCGCAGATAGAGTGGCGTTTTCGGAATTGTAATAGGCGAAAAATCGTTCTGCTCTTTAGTGTCTCTCTAAAGACTTGAAAGATGCTTCCATTAGAATGCACACGAAAGTGCATAACAAAGCTGCGTCCGGATTCAGGAGTTAAGGTTTTTCATGCAGCAGCCTGTGAATAGCAATAATGGCAAAACACTTTTTTCCGAATGACATTATACGTACCGGTAATGCATATACTGCATTACCGGTATGCCAACCTGTGCCAGTTTCCTCATCATTTTTACATCAGTTTTGTTTATTTTCCAGGTACTACCACTTGTTCCAGCAGGGAGAACTTCGAGAACTGCTCGAAAGCGTGGCACCCGGCTGTGTACAAACCGAGTATCACGATCAGGGAAACTGGTGCGCGGTGATCGTCAAGCGAGGATCGCCTGCAGATGAAGCCAGCAATGCCAGCTAACGCATAGAAACCACGATGTGTACCAGTAAAGTAAGATTTAAAGAAAGCTGCACTGTTTCGCCAACAAAACTCACTAACAAGAAAAAAAGAAAGAATAGACACCGATATCAATTTCTCTTAATTTATGTACGCAAACACTATGTCCAGCTATGTCCAGCGTTGCAGCATCAATATTTCATTGAGGAAAGAAGTTTTGTTAGAAAACATTCAGCAATCGTCAAGCGGCAAATGACCCGTAATGTGTGAAATCAATAGAATGTAGCATCTGTCCCTTAAAAAACGTGCAACACCAAACAAGCTATAATCCTTTCTGAACTCCATAGCGAATAATTCCACAATCATACATTCCTTGTTATTACTTACTTTCAAGCCAAAACATTGATGTGTTAGTGTGATGTCATGGATTTCACAGTCCATTGTGTATTCGTGGCTAAACAGCAAAAATAAGAACTTCCCAAACTTGCCACGTTAAGGCTGTGGCTCCTATAGCACACTATGAACCTGTATTTGGCAATAAAATATTACGTGTGCCTTAGCAGACTAGGTGAGATCTATGATGTGACAGTGATAAGCGGAGGAGCTACGAGGAGAAGGCATAACCAGCCTTTCTTTTCTTTAATGACGTAGCAAGTGTTCTCGATATGAGAGTTGAGTTCTTGGCATGGGGACAACGTAGTCTACCAATACAAATGGGTTAAGCCTCGTATTCACGAAGGAAAATATTATTGGGAAGTGAAACTCCTGTTAGAATAGGCATCTGCAGGCGTCCAGATAATGCCACATAATATACAAAAATAACATGCTCCAACAAAGACATTCCAGTTGGCGGCACCTTGCGGTGCAAAGCTGCCACCACGAAAAAAATAAAAGGAAATGCTACCGGCCAAACACCCTCAGTGGTTGCGGCGGAATGCGAGCAACGCACGCGACCGGCTCGCTCAGAAACCGAAACGGCGGCAATCCCCTTCTCTGCCGCAACACACTGCCAGCATGAAATGGTTCTGTGGCAATGTGACATTATATGGTTGCTTTGAGGATATATGGTTGCTTCGAGGAGCAACCATATAATGAAAAGAGAAACGTTTAGGAGTGTCATCTCCTAAACGTTTCCATGGTCTTATGTCATAATTGAGTGAATGATTGGCACGAGGCAGGGTGAAAGACTGTGAACGCATGTTGCGCGAGTCGAAAGACGAGAAGAGCTTACACCTGTGATGGCTTCCGCCACAAGCGAACTATTCGCTTGAAAGGATTAAAGGCAAAAGCAGAACATAAGTAGACTTCTAGTACACCATAGTGCGGAATATCGCACTTGAACTGGTATAGCGCATTACGGGGAAGAAGAAACGGCCGAGCAGACCGACACAGGAGGACAGAGCGCTAACTTCCAACTGAGCTTTATTGTCAAACTGCATCAAATATGTAGACCGGCGAAAGCATACTGCATTGATGCAGTTTGACAATAAAGCTCAGTTGGAAGTTAGCGTTTGTCCTCTTGTGTCGGTCTTCTCGGCCGTTTCTTCTTCCCCGTAATGCGCTATACCAGTTCAAGTACGACGAACCAACTCGCCCAATCTTCAACACTCGTGGCGGAATATCGCACTGCTTTGGCTTTCGGTAGAGTGATGCAATTCTGGTCCTTTCAACTCCTAGAAGTGCAGTCTCTGCACTTTCACACATTCGATCCCTCCAGGGCACAGCTGACAGAACTTTGTACATTAACACAGTTGGGGGCAACTGCCAGAAGTGCCTGGCCTGCCACCACCTATTAACAAACTGCTTGACCAGAGCCTCATTACCTTCGGCAACTGTATCCCGCCACGCTCTAACTTCATTTCTTATTAGCGTGCGTTGAAATCATCAATGCTTTTTAGTCTCCTTGGTGTTCCTTCAAAGTTGTCGCCATCCACCCAGCAACCGGAAAGACAGACATCAAACACAACATGGGGCTGAAGAAGCTTTTTTTTTTTATTCTTCTGGCTACATTTCGACATAACTGCTAGGTGTACCAACGGTAGGAAATTGTTTCTCTTCTTGGCGCCGAGCGAATGCTCGTCACAGGTCGTTAAAAATGGTTTTGTTCGGCTGGCCAATAAAAAGAAAAGTTTACTCGTGGCCTTACATAAAAAAAAAGTTAGAAATGTTCTACTGTCGACGACGTCGACCTCAATTCACAGTTCACTTGGCAGCGGTAGTGAAACAGCACTTTCAAGCACTGGCATGAACGTTGGATGCATAAACCTCTGCTTTTCACTTTGGCGTGAAAAAAAAAAAAAAAAAAAAAAAAAAAACATAAAGAGTAACAGCCGAATTTTAAAGGTGACAGGGCAGTAATGTAAGCATCTACATACAAATGCCTTCGATGATAATTTCCAAAATAAAAGTTAAGAGTGATTTGCCAAAAAAGTGAAGCAGAAATAAAATTGTAATAAGTAAGCAGTACGTAACTCAACGAACTTCTGATCTGTTGCAGAAACATTCTTATCTTTGCCATTATAGACACAACGTGCAAGACAGAAGCTTTGCATGACCAATAAGCACAAAATCAAAACATCGTAGTCCCCGCATGAAGTAAGAACACTTTCATAAGCTTTAAAACTCGAATGCAGCAACAAAAACAGTTTCAATATTGAGCGCATAGCTTCTAGAAAGCTAAGAGACCATAACATACTTAACACTCTACATTTATAAACAGGACTACTGTGGATTAAATAAAAGAATTGCAAACTGTACACAGAGGTTGCAATCAACAGCTTTAAAAATTGCAATACCGTATATTGGAAAGCTTCCGTTTCAATAGTTGCACAGATTAGCCTTAAGCATTCTGCCAGGGGAGCAAGACCTTGTGGGCAGTTATGATCACACAGAAAGAAAAACAAAATATTCGACAGTAGTAGTCAAACAATAGCCGTTGTGCTAGCAAGCAGGGGGTGACAGTGTTTTTCGCTTTTGTCAAAGATGATACTGACAAAAATGGAAACTGGTGGGAAAAATATGGATACAGCACTGAGTCTATAGCTATCTTCACAGCACCTGAAACCAACACGTCGGCATCAAATGCCTGAGCTATGCATGGGTTACGTGCATGTATACTTCTCTTTTGTCCATGCATTTGAGACTATGCATAGGCACCTGATCACTTTGCAAGACAGTTTTTGACGCTGCGAAGTCGGCGTGCTAGGAAAAATTTCGTCTAAAGCGTGACGCAAACAGCCAGAACTGCAGTTCCAAGTTCAAAGCCAGACATCTCTCAAACGTTTTGTGCATGCCTAGCACACTACCACCTACTAACAAGTCCGTGCAATACTTCCCGCGTTTTGTCAAAATTGTTCGCGGTTTCAAAAAAAAAGAAGAAAGAAAACGGGAAAAAGTCATTGGCAGCAGACATGTTGGTTCCAGGGTGCTTTGAGAATCCAAATGCACGGTTAGCTGAGAAGATCCAGAAGCTTTGAAGAACAATACATCTTTGGTTTTCAATAGCTACGGACTTGCTTCTGCAGTCTTTTCAGCGATACGAAGAAAATAGAAGTATTAACAAAGCCTTTTTTTTTCTTACATAATGTACACACATTGCACATGTAGACAACGAAAAAAGAGACATGTCTGTAATGCCTTGCCGAAAAACGGCACAGCGCCGCAACGACACATACTACGTACAGCGAGCAGATGACGTCGAATTCGGGAACACTCCCGGGCATGTTAAATGTGCGCACAGCAGCGAGTGGATCTCCTCAGAGAGGCTTCAAATGAGGGAAACACAACCTATTTACACGTATTTCAGATGCATGCCCCGTGAATGCAGTGTGGCCACTTTATATAAAAGCACTGGAATGGAATGTTTTCCAGCACGCATCTGGAAAACAGACACGTGGAATGATGGAAGCGGTTGGTTCCAAAGGGTTTGTATATTCATTAAAACAACACTTCCTTTTCCTGATCAGAATCAGAGCAGGCGTTCGGGCGTCAGTTGTGAGGAATGTGAAAAGTCGTGCTAGGGTGTGCATATGGCGATTTGGTCCACAGCAGGAATGCTGCTGAACGTGAGGATCGATTGTCACCACGACAAATTTCATCTCGGCGGTCTGTAACTGTGGCTATATTCGCGCACTTGGTGCAATGCGGGAAACGTCCAACTTCGAACCCAACTGAATCGAAATGCGTGCACAGTCTTGACAGGTGGTTGTGCTCAACGGCATACTCATTCACTATAACAGAGACGATCCGCGAGTTTGAGTAATGGCAATAAATAATGCACAGCCAAATAAGCCAGCTGGGAATTTCGAGACTCTTTGAGTGAGAGTTGTAGAGTTAAACGTCAATCAATAAGGGCAATCAAGCAATGAATAAGGGCATAACATGTCTTGTAATCAGCCCAGAGTAACACTGCTTTTTAGGAACCAAGTGTAACTAAGGGTGTCAACAAGTTTGTTAAGCTTGTGTTAGCACTGCGTCTGCTGAAGTAATGCTTTGAAAATGTTTACAAGAGGATGCAAAACAGCAGAGCAGAAACTAACGTTTAAAAAAAAAAAATTGCATTCATGTTGGTCCATTAGATGGCTTCCGACTAACATTAATGACTTTTAAACAGAACAAACTTCGTGAATATGAGTACATATGTCTATCCAGGTTGTGCATTTGCAATTAAATCAAAGAAAAAGCCTCCCATGAGGAGATCCACATCATGGAGTCCGTACGCAAGTTGAGCATTAGTAGATGCACGCGTCCGTAAGTCGGACCGCGAGATTCTCAGCAACGAGACAAAAAAAGAGAGAAAGAGAAAAAACAGGCGAAAAACAACGAGTGTAAACAAACAAATGCGTGCGGTGACGTCACGTTGGCAGTCACAACCGGCATACGACGCCGACTGGCACTTTTCGGGTGAAGGACGACGGGTGCCCGAAAATAGTCTTATTTATGACCCCGCAGGGTCTCTGCTGACTAGCTGGGCTCCTTGAGGGGAAAAAAAGCATGGATGAGGAATGTCACCGGCCTTCTGCGGGATGACAAGGAATGTTTGGGGCTGCAGGCAACAGCGAGGCAGCGCGGTAGACCGTCACAGAGCTTGGTCGCAATGTGGTTGCACGACGGATGTCTCTCGGCATTTCCTATGCATGACCGACCCATGTAACTTTGCGGTGATGTTCGTAATAACAAGAGACTCCCTCGTGAATCCAGCACGAGTGCCTCTGCAATCGAATCGGTGCCAGGTGTTGTCAGGACCCTCTTTCACTTCTCTGATCACCTTCCCAAAAGACAGTGACGGATGTGATGGGATGTTAATTTCCTGGAACCCCATTTGTGCGTGATCCGTCTACAAACTGTTTTGACATGACATTTGTGTGCAGCTTTTGGTGAAGGACGTCCCGTTCCAGTCTTTTCACAACGTGATGCGGCTCTGCTGGCTTGCGTGTGCAGAAGCAGGGAAGTACGCGACTCAGCATTTCGATACGCTCGATGCGACGTCACTCTGCAGCAGCTTGTTCATACCACCTAACATCAGCGTGTTGGGTAACTTGAACAGTACACAAGTCTTTTGTCCGTTCGTGTGGTTCACCAGCAAAAGACACCTGCTCCTTGTGCGAGCCATCCTGGCAGAAATCGGTCGTGTTGGCTTGACGATACATGGGTGCACACTGCACGTAAGCAAACTACAATACTTGGGTACAAGCTTCTTTTGTAGTGGCATGACCCTTCTTGAACCGACAAACCTTTGGCAATGTCGTCTGATGCAGTGAAAATCAGTGTAACATCTGCAGAAGACATTGTACTGACCATCTCTTGAGCCAAGTCTTTGCGATTTGTTTGGCATCTTTGCAAAAAGTTTGCAAGGATGATCAGTGTTGCGCTGCAGTCACTGTCTACTCATGCTACCTTTGATCTGTCCAACTTTTCCTCCCAAGTCGCAACCATGGCTTTATAACTTACAAAAAAGGAAAACCTTTGGCAGATACATGGCACCTTGAATCTGACCATGCAAACACTCCGTACCGAGAATAGGCAGTCACCCAATCAAATATTCAGAGAAGAATCCTTCCGAAGCCATGTCAACTGGTTCATCACCCCAGTCACATTTTGGAATGGTGAACCTAAATTCACGTCTTGCCATTCATTCAAAGACACTGCAGACATGCCGAAAGCAGCGCTTCCTTGTCAAGCAGCAATTCGGGGCTCGCTTCCATGCATCTTCGAACAGGTTCTTCAACAAAAGCATTTCGGTAATTTTTCAACATCGGTGGCACAAAGCTAATCCCACCACCAAATTTCCAGCAGTCATACTTATGTTCCAACGTGGGAAAGTGGGTGACAAAACAACCGGCACATGATCAGGTGGGGTCAGGGGTGTCAAAGAAGAACAGAGAGCTCTATTAAGATATTCACTATAACACGTCTGACAATGGGAAAAAATTAGAGGTGGCTGGTCAGGTGAGGTCATCAGCACACTTGCGCAGATGTGCAGTCAAATGTTGGCGGAGAAGGTATGAGAACAATGAGCAAGAACGAAGGTGGTGGTGTTTTTTTTTTTTCTTCAAAGTCTTCTCATTTGCCGGAAGTCGAAAAGTCTCTGCGTTTCTCCCTCGCTCAGAACTTTGTGGCGCACGTCAGGTCGCCGTCGTGGTGCTGAAACAGCCACAACAAGGAGTTGTTTTTTTTCACGTCGGGTACGCTCGCCGAGACTGCAACGCCTGGTGGTACTGCCCAGCCCGCAGGTGTAGGACCAGGGCCAACCAAAAAACGGCAGGGATGTGGAGGGTGTGGGGAAACAGGGAGTGGGAGAGAGAAAAAAAGAGAAAAAAAGAAAACGCAAAAAAGAAAAATCATGCGGGGAGTCGAGACACTCACGCAAAGGAAACAAAAGAGAACGACAGGGCCCGCTCCGGCGTGACGCCCCGGCGCGTGACGCCACCCCTGGAGGCCAACAACGGTTCCCACGAGTCCGAGGCCACGGGCCGCATGCTGGCCTGGTCAAACATTTGAGGAACGCGAGAGTAGGAGGGGTGGGCGAGGTAACAGGCTCTAGCAAACAGACTGTCAAGGAGGTCTGCTTCGTCTCGCATGCGCCAGGTCCACGGAATGCAACATTCATGTTATTTTAGGCCAAGCTTAATGCCTGATCTTACGCTTTAAGTGCCCTAAAGGTGCCCTTGTGCTCTCAAGTTGCCCCCGTTTCCTTTAGGCTCCCTAGTGACATCGGTTAGCTTAATTAATGGCAGTGCACTTTTCTCACAGAAAACTTCAATAACTCCAATCAATCAATAGCTCTAATCAATGTTTACGTAATCAGACTACAACTCTGAGAGGCTCTTCTTACATTTGTTCACAGAGTCTCTTCCAGCAATTACGACCTTGTCCAATACTAAATGTGGTTGACAGAATCGACTGATAAAAGACAAATATTAAGGCAACACTGTTGCTCGTGCTCTTGAAGTCCTTGTCAATTCGTGCTGGTGTGAAGATGTAGCCTTTCGATAACAAATGCGTTAAGCAAAGCCCAGGCATCATATTGTTACGTTGCATCATATATTGGATGCAGCGAGCAGTGATGACAATGCATTCCAAGGAACTAGCACATCCGTATCGAGCAGCCCCAGAGACAGCAGTTCAAACATTTCTCAACATCATGCGGTTAACATGAAGTGTCATGCTGCAACCTAGTGTGTCAGGTTTCAACCAGTTACATGTAGCTATGATAATTTCTCTGAATCAGTATGGGACAGTATTGTCACTAGAGTTTGAACTCTGTAATTATTTCTTTGCGACAGCACACATGGCCCCACTTTGTTATTAACTATTTATAGTTTAGTATTAGTACATGACAAGCAGTACAAACTGAAATAGTAAAGATAAAAGCAGCTGTCAAAAACTAGCTGAAGCTTGCCACTAAGTCAGATGTGTAAAATTTTTAGTATACTATTAAAGACAATGCCTCATAGCACTTCGATTTGTCAGCCAGGATAAAATCTCACTGATATATTACTGAATAAAAAACAGTGCTATGCCTTTACTGTGCAATTTAACTAGAGAGCAGCAACAAGAACAAAAAAAAAAAAGCCTGTTCCACACTACATTGTGATTCTATGAATCAAATGAGAGGCAGTGTTTGAGAAACATGCACACACTTTTAAATAGCCTGATACGGTTATCCTCACCACACGGCAATTTCGTTACATTATCTACGCAGCTGGCAGTGTCCAACTTCGATTGCACAGCCTGAACACCATGGCAGTTCAAATTTGAGAAGATAAATTACCCCGGTAAGTAACCACAACTATGACACCTTAAGGTGCAGTCTTGACACCGTGCGGTTTACTACACTCCAAGGCACTTCAAAAATGCAAGTCACAGAGGCCATTGGTAGCCCCACATCAAATGTTACGGGACTCATTCAGCAGCGAAAAATCTACGGCTGCAAAATCAAGTATAGCATGCACCTCTAAAGAAAAGAGACGTGCAGGAAGGATTACATCACGGGACTCAAGATGCACTTTCTGGCATAGCGAAAATAAAAATAAAGACACGGTTTCAAGCAGTTTTTGTGAACCGCAACTGAAAAGACACCGTATGCCATTCTCTATAATGAAGTCTTCGCACCACTGAGGTGACGACCTTCGTCATTTTTACATTACTGTACCACTGATACGCAAAATATGCGCAATCACGAGAATGCATACGAATCTCTTTTTAGAAGGGATGGCAGTACCATAACAGCGTTACACCGATTCCTAACTGAAGCCCACAATACACAAGTGTAGCCATAACGATATGGAGAGCAAAAACACCAGTCGAATAAAGTCTGTGCAACACCTGTTGGCAGTTTTTCGATGATTCTCGTCTTCTAGAACAAGGGTCTCAACCATGCAGCCCGTGGATGTTTGCTAGTGGCCCACGGCTTCACTTAGCCACTTCTCTGAATTACAAATTAAGGAACTACATCTCTCAACACTGTTCCCCCCTTTTCCTTTGACACATGGGTGTGTGACAGCTTTGTGACGCTAGAGGCGATATCACCCCCTCTTAAGCAACACTGCAGGATGCTTCATCATGTTCACAAATCCAGTGCATTGACCCACTAAGCGATTTCAACCCTCTTACCGAGTAGAAACAAGGCACCCAGTAATACCGACCTTGTCAAGCAGTTTCGTTTCTTTCTCAAAAGGCAGTCGCGAAGAATTCTAAGGTGGCCCTTGACCCGTAAAGACTCGACTGGCCTGCCTTTACTCAATACCATTCTGGCCATACCTGTCGAGGTGAAGAGCTTTTTGCAACCAAGAACTCACACTCAGCTTGAAATTGCCATGGGATTTTTACTTTTATAAACCTTCAAGAGAGGTTAGTTTCTAAAAGTGAACAGACAGGCTTCCACCACAAAGCTGTTGGTTAGCACATGCACTCTTCGGGCATGAAATCGATTGTGCTCCTGTTTTCTGCACCATAACGGGGTTATCAGCTTCATCTGCATGTTACATTTAAACAATTACCACCAGCTTTCACAGGCAAACTACTCAGCTCAATAAAGACACTGAGATGAAGCTGCAGCTGTTCGCAACACTATTTGGTTCCTAACAGTCAACAATTTACCCATAAATATTACTGGTAGCAAAGGATTCACTTGACAGTCTACTTGCAACAAACTAGCATAGAAGTACAAAAGGCAATCTTCATTTGGTTTTGTACCTGTCTCTTCCTGCTACACTCTTCGAATTCTGACAACATTCTTTGGCATTACAGCTAGCATGAATATGTTTTAATCCCCCCAGCATGCCGAATGTGATATGGCATTTGATGTACGTAAACTGCAGTTTCGTCATGTTGAAGCTGGCTGCTGTTCGGATAGCTTCTATCTGGTAGCATTCTAGGAATTGCAGAGCGCTAGAAGCATGCAGTTTACACTTCAGTATTTGCTTGCTTGAACAGAGAGTAGCACTATTGAACATGAAATATAGGTCCACAGCATGGGAAAGAAAACTTTGTCGATTAAGAAAAGGGCATATTGAAAGTGGCTAAAGTTGTAGTGAATACAGAGAACTATCCGTTTCCGAACCTAGTGTTACAAGCAGGTAACATGTAAAACTGATGCCCTTATTCAGTGTCACAAAGAGATGCACTGTCAGGATGTGACACCACGTGACACTGAAGCCCTTACTCAGTGTCACGCCTAAGCTCATCGCCGAGCTATGACACTGTGCGACACTGACACCTTTACTCAGCATCACACCCAAACTAACAGTTGGGGTGTGACACTGCGTGACACTGAAGCTAGTACTTAGTGTCATGCACCGACAATGACTCATGGCTCGACATTGAGCCCCTTGCTCAGTGTCACACCCAGACTCATTGACATGGTGTGACCTTGAGTTGACAGTCTGACTTGGACAACTAAAGGTAAGCCATAAATAAGCGCACCCCTAACGCGACCAAAAACGTAGACGCTGAACCTACGACACTAGTGAACGAACTTCAGCTCTGGTGTCGCTTACCGTTGGAGGTGGTGTGTACCTGGCTTGCAGGAATGCTTGCTCTTCACGGCTTGCGGTACGTCCATTCCTACGAGGCATGGCGCAAGAGGCAAGGGGAGGAACAGACAAAGAAAAAAAAAAGAGGCCTTCGAAAGGCCGCCAAACGCACCAACAGATATGCACAACAGTGTGCAGACCCGATGGCTGCACTCGCTCAACAATATTCGCAATCCAGATGGTGCGGCCGCTGCTCAAGTCGAAGTGAAGAAACACCAAGGACAGGGACGTTTGAGGAGCCATGTAGTCCCTTCTATCAAACTTGCTTCTGAACAGCCCTCTGCATGTTTCACTACTCGACTTGATCGGCATCTGCAGCTCCTCCGTTATAAAGTTACGTGAACAGACTAAGTTACGTTGCACTCTTCACTAAACAATAGTTGTCCTAAAAATTAATACAAAATAAACAGAACAAACTTTCCAGTAGCTAACGTTGAGAACTGAGCCCAAGAGGAGCGTTAGGTTACCTTTCGTTTTGAGCCTTACCGGACAAGTGAAACTGTGTACAAATGACCACCTTCATTGCCTGGCATTCGAAAAAATAAATTTAAATTAATCCGTGATGAAAGAGCAAAAATGATAACTGATACACCTTTATTCAACTTTTGGGCAAAGTTAATTATCATGGCCTCTTATACATTCATAATATTGTTACGGTGCATCATCGTCACAATATTTTGACTCTTAGACTATGTACTGCGTACTGAACTAGGCTTCATTACATCAGAGTTCATGAAAAGTACACCAGCAACTGAACACATCCCAAGTTCATGAGTGCCTGATACTGTACTGTAATGAACACAGCTGCAAAGAACAGAAGAGTTTAAATTACAACTCCTTCTCTGGGGGCTTAACGAGGGCCACATTAATAAATTCTCAGTGCCCATTATCGAAAGGTAGGAGAGTTGCTCAAGGCACACTGTGCTTCAACTTGATCTATTTTTATTTTTTTAAGGAGCTTACTGAAAGTACGTTTTCAGTTATGTGAATTAAACAATAATCTCTCTCTATCTTCAGCCTCAGTAATCCAATCACAATACTACATACCAAGCAATTGACGACAACTACAGCTTGCAGTAGAATTGTAATCTACAAGTTCAAGGCAACAACATCTCATGAACTCACCGCTTCCAGATATAAAAAAAAGATGTTAATAGCATTGCCTAGGCTGAAGCAAACGACCGACGAGATAAAAGCAACATCTCACCACTGTTGTACAGCATTCAAGCAGGAAAGGAGCACACAACATTCGCACGTTTCGTCACCGTAGACGTCACGGATGACACAGCACAACCCAGCACGGAAATATGCGGGCGTTACCTCTACTGGTGCACAACTTTGCAGTGCAGTGATCGCTAGAGCAGTAATTCCTAAAAGCGCTCAGCAGCAGTGTTAGGAGTCAGCCAACCAAACCAAGCTCTGCCGCCAAACAAACACGAGGAACTAAACTGAAACTGGAACGCAACACTTGAAAAACAAAATGAACGTGTCTGGAAATTGCTTGTACATGCGGATGCAGAACTAATAATGTGCACAGATGTTCCCCAATCAGTACTTTGTTACTGCATTGTTTTTCTTTTATATTATTATTATTATTATTATTATTATTATTATAGAGTTAAAACCAGAAATACAATGCATCTTTCATTCTACATGATCTATAATTCGAAGCGTAGAAGACACTTCGTTCTTTGAGCAAATACACCGCCCCAATTCTACTCTAGATTCCTAGCCACCCAACAGACACCTTTAACCCTATGCTTCCACATCTGCCTTTAAAGAGTGACTGCTCCGCAAGTTCAAACCATGCACAAACCTCTTAACGTCGTTCGAACTGCATTTCTTAATATCGTTTCTCAATTGCATTTAAATTTTACACGTTGCATAAGTTACGCAAGCAAATCTGCTTTCTTTCGCATCAGTAGCGTGGAGAGAGGGAAAGCAAATAAATGCTCCATTTTGAGTCGTTCCAGCCAGAGATTATCTTTGATTTTCCCATAAGCAGGCGCTTATCTTAGGACAAATACGCTGCGAGACAAACAGAGACGTTCGTGTTGATCCTACGCTTCGAGTCAGCTATTTTACATTAGCAATACTACTTTAGACTCAAATTTACTCCCATGCACTGGCTAAATGCTCATAGTAGCCTAGTCTCGGCTATCCGCTGTTACAACCGCGACGTTGTTTTTATTGAAGCCCAATTCAATGACTGACATGCTGCTCTTAAAAATACACGAACTTCAACTAGTTCCACCTGAACCTCCCTTTCTTAAAAACTTGACAGTGCAAACACATTTCCATTTACCAAATTTTTTACCTCTTTAAAAACAAATACGAGACAGGAACCTGCATCCACAAGCAATTCCACACATGCTCAGCCACAAAAGTTCCCGGAACACTCGACTCGTAGAAAAAAAAGCTTCTGTGAGACTTGAATGGTACAATGCAGCACTCATGTAGAAATACATGCTGCGCCTTCTGCTTCCAATATTCGTACGTCTGAGTCAAGAAAGTCTCACTTCTCCGAGGCCTATGTGTTCAGTGAACTTCCGCAGTCGGTGCTACATATTTGGGGAGGTTACTGCTACTCCCAGCAAAGGCAGGGGGCCCTATACCATGCCATGAAATACAGAATACTATTCTGCACCGATTCTTTCTCATTGGTCAATTCTGTCAGTCAGCCAACACATCTCAGCTTTTCCCACAATATATACAGTCATTGGCCATCTGAAAATTCGCCAAGACCCCCCCTTCCCCCATAAATTATGCCAAGAATGATAATACGAAAAAAAATGGAATAGTGTTCCGTATTTCAAGGCACGGTATTTAAGTCCGCACTACATGTTAGTGCCGCAGTACTTAGCGTGATCGAGTGAGATCGCTTCCCGTCTGCAAGGTTGGTTAGACTGGGGTGCGCCCAAGACACAGACAAGTCAGGCATGGCAGGCAAGCAGGGGGGGAGGTGACCAAGCGTGTTGAGAGGTTTTCCAGAACGGACACAAACACACAGAGCTCGACAGAGCGGCCAGTTCGGGAAAGCCGGTGATGAGGGAATGAGAGCGAGAGAGATAGAGGGCATGGGAAGGTGGGTCGCGTACGTGTCGCGGCTGCGTCGAGGCGCACCCACCGCGGAGGGGGGCAGGAAGGGATCCTCCTCGTCCACGGTATCTCGCGGCCGCCTGCGCATCAGCCGGCCCCCCCGCAACGGGGGGCAGTGTGCACTGGGGCACCCACACACAAACAGAGACACAGGCGCGCGCGCTCGCGTCGCTTCGAGGACTCTCGAAAAAGAAACAAAGAAACGCTCGACCGAAAAGTGCTCGGTGACAAATTAACCCTTTCTGGTCTGAATTTCGTACTTGGAACAACTTATAAGTCCCGCCGGTGAAAGAAAAACCAAGTACAAGTAACAGAAATGAATATCAGCAGTTTTTCACAATATGAGTCAGTCATCTGTAAAAGATCACTACGTTGCAAATCACATAAAAAAGCTTCCACTTCTGTCTCAATCACGAGTGCGTATACAAATGGCCACACAATCTAGACATTGTTTCTGTGCCCTGACCAAGAGTTCTTCACGCTTTATGCGATGTTTCAAAGACCCAGCTCAAACACAATATCAGCAAACGGTAGAAATCTAATTTCTCAGGTTAGTGGTGGCAGCTGTCTCCTTCACACGTCGAAAGTTCCCCATACAGCAACGTTCCACTTAAGGCATTAAAATTCGTAAACGAATATTTTGACCAGAAAGGATTAAAAACTGCAGGCCATGCTTACATGTTTACAGCAGCTTTGAAAACTCCCCACATATAGATAACACATAGTAGTGTGCTCAACTTAACCTGTGCTGAAAGCAAATCACTTTAAGGTTGCCTAATCTATTAGAGTTAGGCAGACATGGATCAACTTTAAGCAACATGGGTTGTCCCTATAGTGTTAAGAACATGGATTGTCCCTATAGTAAGTTCACAAACGAAACAGCGAGTGTTTTGCCTTGCCAGTATCGAAACGACTATAGCCTCTAATGGCTGTGTGGAACACAGCAGGCAGTAATAATGGCACATATCTGGCCAGCAGTGGCAAGGTTTGAGGAGGCAAGAAAAAGTTGCACGATGGGCTAATGGTAAGAAAATGAAACAGGGAACTGAGAAAATCAGTCAAGGGATAGACACTGAAAGTTGTGTGCAAAGATACACTAATGAGGTAGTGATAAGACATGACATTGAGTGCTCTTCAAGGGTATAATCTTAAAAAATAATGTTATGTTTTAAGAGATGCTATTGGTAAAGGAAATAACAGAAACCTTTTGAAACATAAAAACACTGAAAATGGTGTCAAGGTAATGATTCAGTAATAGGAGATGAAACTGATGCCTGTTATAGATCAGAGAGCCTAGAAAAGTTTGTTAAAAAAATGCTAATTAGGTAGTAATAGATGACACTGAACTTTTTTTAGGGGTATAAACACCAAAAAATTACAATTACAGAACTTTTCAATCAAATCAGAGACCAAGATTAATTAGGAAGAGGCTAAACAATGTATATCACCCGACGAGCTCACTATATATAGGGCTTGCCCAATAAAGAATAGTGGTTCCCTGAGATACCTTTGCTTGGGGCTTAGATAATAAAGCTTTGATATGCATGCCTCTATTTTTGCTGGCTATCAAAACAAAACACACAATGAACATGTGTTGTCTACACAAAATATGTCTTTAAAAAAGCTCTTTCCATAACCAAGCGAACTAAACAATAATAGAGAGAGAGAAAAAAGGTTATTTTATTTAGTTTTGTTATTTCACATCTATCTTTCTTTTTTCTTCAGTTAATTCAAAGAGCACCTGCCTACATCAGAGTTAGTGCAGTGTAAAGCAACAGAGATGAGAAGGAACATAAAGGATGGCGTAGACTCGAACTGTTCGCACTGTTGACAAGTACCACTTTGACATCATTACGCGTTCCTTCTTCAATCAGTTTATCTGCACCACACAAACTTAACACTTATGAATTAGCCCTTGAGTGAGTTTTTCTTTTGTCACCTCATTGAATATTCCAATTCAACTGCACTACACTAGCAGCAGGCAGAATTCAAACTACACTCAAATTTCGATATAACAAATAGGGATATATTAAGATATCGGTTATAACAAAGTAAATAAAGAATGTCTTCCAATAAATACAGTATTGGTATTCACCTTTACAGCTACTTTTCAGATGTAATGAACTTACTTCCTTTTAAGATATAACTTTGTTATTATGAGGTTTCAGCGCAACACGAAGTACAAATGAGGCAATATTGCACATTAAACGATCTAGCGACAATTGTCATAGAGGGTTCAACCTGTGGTAATCAACATTGTTAAGGTGCAGAGCTCAGCACAGTTAATTGTTCGCTCCGTGGAATGTGGCCCCGCAAGCTCTCACCTCTGTCGAATGTGAATCCACGTGTGAGAGGCCACCCAGATAAGCACCGTGAACAGCAGTCCGCCCCCGAGGGCAGAAGCCAGCATGAAGGCAGTGCCCTCCCTGCACACAAGACGAGATCCAAAATGACAGCTACGGCGAGGTGCCTTTAAAGGCTCGCTGCGAGATAATTTTAGACCGCACAGAAAGGAGAGTTTCGGGTGATATACAGGCCCAAAGGAAGGAGATTCCATGCGAAATTTTACTTTTGAAATGGGAACAAAACCGTTGCAAATGCCTGGAAAGACACTGAAACAGCTGTTTACAATAACGAAACTGAAGAAAGAACACTGTCGTCACCATTCGCCGAAAGTGACACATGATTGGTGTCTGACCTTGAACATTGCTCGCAACAGTACCGATCCATCTTAATGAGAGAAAGAATGGCGAAAACAGGAAATGACATCATGCAGCAGTATTCAGTCAGTTTTTTTTTGCTAATCTGTGCCTTTTCGCTAGAGCTTTGTTAATAGCGAAATTCTGAGTATGATGCAAATTCAAATAGTAACGTTCGAGTGCAAATCAAGTTGAATAGTTTTTGAATATTTTTCAAGTGTCTTACGAATGCTTCAAAGCAAAATTACAGAAACAAAATTGCAGAGAACTTCTAAGCATATTCTAAATTATATTCCCAAAAAATTTACAGCTCCGCAACGGCGCAGCTGGACACTGCCGTTTTCGACTCGCCGAAAAGTGTGTTTATTCGTCTTCAAGTTTCTGGCATCATGCAGCTAGGTACACAATTGAGAAACAAGCGTAAAAAAAGAAAATTTTTAGCGTTCGTTTCAAGGTCTTCAATTGGCCGCGTCCCAACATGTTGCTCTAGTAGACGTCACCATTGGTCGATCATCTCTCCGGGAAAAAGTCATCTACTGCTTGTGCATTGCGAGGTCACGGCTGTCAACAATCGTGCTACTTAATAACAGGTTCGCACTCATTTTGTATTCACAAGTCAATAATTACGTTTTAGTTATCAGCTGCAAGCATAATCTCAATTGTAAGATTACAATTATGCACCACACTCGTTGCCAACATAGCAGGCAAGCATGTCGGAGAGACTGTATACAGCATCAACTCGTGGCACTCCCAGCAGACGGTTCTGCTCATCAGTACTTCAAACCTAGAGACAAAATAATAATGAAATGACTCAATATACCTGCAATCGAGGACGAGGTAGTTTGAGACATTGGGCACCGCTCCCATGCACACCGTGACCAGCTAGGCCTAACTCCGCTCACAGTGCCGATGTACAAGAAGAATCCCAACTTTGCAGGCAAGAATATTACGGTAGCGAATATGTGAAAGCGAAGCAGCCGCAATGAGCTCAGCCGCGAGCAACTAGTCGCAATGTCCATTGGCTCTTCCCAACCATGGACGAGTGCTACCTGCATCAGCAGCGAACCCGCTCGCCAGGATTGGAGTGCCTCGATGCTCCTTCTCCTCCACCGAAGGAGGAGTATTGAGGCACCCCAGCCAAGGTCGTCGCACAAAAGCCACTCAAAGCAATGATGAAAATGGCTAGCAGTTCCACGCGTTGACGCCACGAAAAGCAAGAACAAGCACACTGCATCTGATTTTTGGTCACTGTATTCAGTATTTTATTATTATAAACCATCATATTTTCTGAAAATTTGAATGCCTTGAATACAAAAGTTCCGATGTGATTCGAATCGAATAGCAAACATAATTAGAAAAATATATGAAAGTTCAAATATTTGCACGTCCATACTTTTCCAGTTTTTTTTTTGAAAGACTACATACCAACGTGCCCAGCTCTCAGTCTCGGCAATGCTGCACATCCGTGCACGTTTTATGCATCCTGTAGCTTTCTGCACTGCGCCAACCCGTATCAATGCCTTTCAATATTTACGTTGGTAAACAGATAAAAAGAGAAAGAATGACATAGGGGCAAGAAAGGGGCACTCACAAGAGGCCAGTGCAGGTGGCATCCATGGCGCGATGATACTCGCGGTTGAGCGGGCGGCAGTCGAGCAGCTGGCCAAGCTTGCCGAGCGCACTCTGACTGCCATTGAGTTCCTGGCCCAGCTGACCCAGCAGGGAGTGAACCTGGGGGCAAGGGGTAGAGTGCAACGTTAGCATAACAAATTATCAATTACCGTAAAGTATCACTTATAACAAATTCTAAAGACGTTCTAATGTGGCAAATTATGAGCTTTACTGTTAACATGGTGTTACACATATAATATGTGTGTGGTCAGGTATATCAGTGGTTGTCGAGCCAGTTTAGCATTTGGAGCGATTTTCAAAGCAGGGAAAGGTCAGTTCAGGAGCATGATGAACTGTGTTTTGGAGCCTGCTTGGAGCAGACAAAACAGAATGGATTCACTGAAGGAATCAATCGCCTCACGAGTTCACCGAAGCAAAAATATTTTGAATCCGTCTAGTGCGAGTGGAGATACAGAGATTAGTCACATGTTGAAATTGCATTCTCTCACCTCTGGTCCCGACGAATGCACTGGAAGCTAAGCAGGGAGGGATGGCATGGTAAAAAAAAAAAATTGCGTGTGCCTTGTGATTTTGAGCACTTTTTCTGTTTTTTTTTTGTTTCAAATATGCTGCTTTTCAGGATGATCGCGCACGCACGCATGGACAAGTGACGGCCTCCAGCAGTAGCCGCACTAACAACCGAACGCGGCATTAATCAGCGTGCTTTAATCAGCTAATGGCCGAAACAATGGCTGCGAGGAGGAATTTTTCAACTTGTAGCATCATTTGTCGAGAGAGGAGAGAGAAGTTTTTAGCCGACTGAGAATTCATCGTGAATTCCAGGCAGCATGCTGAGCTATAACATTTGGCTCGCGTGTTCTCGGGAGCCTGGACTACCAATTGGCAGCGTTTTCTGACCGTGCTCAAAAAGCGTTGCAGGGCGCCTTTAATCATGTTCTTAGCATGAAAGAGTGTCACATTCTGGCTTCACTGCAAATCACAGTGTATGTGGGGATGTGTGGTGGACAAATGAACTCCAGCGAAGTTGGTGCAAGCTGTACTGTATTGTTCACAGCAAGGCACAGCGATATGGGATGGTAGCAAAATGGCGTAATTGCCGCAGTTGGACCACCACTGATTACATTTAGAATGAATAACCGAATATCATGAAGCTTTGTGCTACTATGCTAGATACAACTGTTATAATCAGGTCTGACTATGCATCAATTACATTGGAATCTTCCAAATACCCAGATTGAAATTTGATATTCCAAGGTTTCATGCACCGAAACCACGATCCACTGGTTATGGTACTCAAGTGGTCTAAATACCCAAAACCCGCCAATTAGGTGTCTCTCGTAATCATATCGTGGTTTTGGGACGTTAAATCCAAGAAAAATTCGGCCGCTCTGGCTGGCTACCGAAATTGCCTCTTTGAGCATTGCAGTGCAACGCCTCAGCTGCTAAGCTACCACTGTTAAAGAAAACAGTGTAACAAAAAAGGCTTTTCAACAACATAAACACAAACACCGTATGGCTAATAAGTCGTACTTTTCTGTGTTTAGGCCGTTTTTTTAAAGCACAGCATCTGTATTATGTCGCCTAACTGTTAGTCCTACTTAAGATACCACGTTAAGATGAATTCTTAGCAGCCTTCTTACTGATTTTCGCACACTGTCCTCATAAAAACTGTGGTCATGTAATGAAATTCAAGTTGTTTTCGACCTGTTCACATTTGAATTTATAGCGACATAGTAGACAGACACCCATGACATCTGCTGAGAGCACATGAGCTCAGCGCTGCAGATCCGGTACAAACAATTTAATTCACGATGGTTTTTTTAAAGTTGGGACGTCGACTGCACAAGGTTGTGAAACGCCGCATGCATCTCTATTGTTGTTTCACACGCATGAGTCTAGTGCAATAGCGTTCATTTAGTTGTTATGAATACACCTTAACAGTATATACTCAAACGCATTCATACTAAAAAGCATACGCTGTGACAATGGAGCGTTCTCACAGTTCATTTTGTTAGCGAGCATCTTCACTCGCATAAGCTAGGAATGCAGATTCCATCACGCAGCAGTGCAGTAGTGTGGGGTTCTAGACAGGAGCGTCGAAGACGGTACGTGCATGCACACACGTAAGCAGGCTCACCTCCTTGCGAGGGAAGTAACGGTCAGCTATTTGCGTCACTGGTGCCATGAGAGTCTGCACGCCGTCAACGGCTGCCCGCGCCTCTCTGAGTGGCTGCAAGACAAGCACACGAGTGTGAACTAGAAGCAAAGGCATCTCGAAACTGAAACGAACTGAGGCAGTTTCTCGGTTCCCGTTCAGAAATAACGATTATGTAGGGCTCGAAGCAACATTCGAGTCACTAAACTTTCAAAAAGCAAGTGCTTGCCAAAATGCCAAAACTTAGCCCAGTGATTTTTAGGCACCAATGCGGCCTGTGTACATTCATCCGACGTAAGAAAGGGAGCAAGATTTCCACGACCTCTTCGAAAGGCTTTCAACAGTGATCGGAATGCCACTTTCACACAAATGCACATCACCACAAAAGCTTTCAACGGCCCAACTATTGAAAACATGACATTGGTGACAAGCTTGATCGAGACTGTCTTAAGCAGCATAACATAGAATGGGCTTGTCAGGTGTAACAACCCTCTAAACAGCTTACGATTGAGGTGTATCCAGAAGTGATTCCTAAATTCATAAGAGATCAGAAAGGAAAAAGAGCTGATGAGAGATTAAGTTTCCCCTCCTATGAAGGCCAATTGCATTCACATGTATATTTTTTAAACTTTTTTAATAGTCAGCAAAAGTGCATGGCATATTTCACCCTTTAAGAATTGGCGAAATTTCATACAGCAGTATTTTTAGTATCGGCGTGCAGAAATTTACGTGTGTTGAGGTTCCGGTAAATACGATACCCTTATCTCAGCCAATTAGACGACCCGATGCCCAAGATATTGCTACCTGTAGGCTGCCACAAACCATAGTGCGAATGCGCGTGTGCGCCCGACGAAGAAGATGAGGCTCGCTGGCTGCTCGAGCTCGGAGCCAGACTGGCCAGTGCTGCAACCGCTCTTGCAAATATATTTTTCGAATATATTCGCAATACTTTGTCTCGTTACTCACGTAACATATTTGGTGGAGGTGGAACGATCCCCGTCCTCACCACGCAGCTCCGCAGTGGCCGCATCCTCCAGCTTCCCGCCATGGCTTCCAGTGACAACGCGTCCGCTTCACCATCTGCGGCTTCTCCGACAACCTTTGTCGCCGTCCAAACACCACGTGATCCCGGGACATTTTCTGCGCAACCTGGCCTCGACGTCGACAAATGGCTTCGCCTTTATGAACGGGTCAGTCAAACTCACCGTTGGGACCCTACCATGATGCTCGCTAATGTTCTCTTCTACTTGGACGGAACCCCGCGTGTCTGGTACGAGACAATGAGTCCGAACTCACCAGCTGGGACACGTTCAAGGAGAAGCTACGTGACATCTTTGGGGACCCGATCCGGTCGCCACGCAGCTGCACGACAGGAGCTGGCTACCCGTGTCCAGTCGCCAACTGAATCGTATGTGTCATACATCCAAGAAGTTCTCGCTCTTTGCCGAAAAGTGGACGAGGCGATGTCTGAGGCTGAAAAGGTTGGACACGTTTTGAAGGGGATCGCGGACGACGCCTTCAATTTGCTGGTGTACACTAACGTCTCGACCATCGACCGTGTAATTCAAGAATGCCGCCGTTTCGAAACAGCAAAAAGCCGTCGGGTGCGCCCTCCTTTTCTCGGTTGCCAAACACGGCGGCTACGTCCACCTGCTCCGATTCTACCGTCACACCGCCCTTTGAGCAGAGTGTAACGCGTATCGTTCGACGGGAACTTGAAGCAGCAAGTCCAGCGCCGCTTCAGCCCACTTCTTTCGAACATACGATACCGACAACCCCCGCGATCTCCGTTATTCAGGCGGTCGTACGACAAGAATTCGCCAACCGCGGGTTCCCTGATGCTTGCCCCATCTCTTGCCCCTCCTCCAGACCAATTCCCATTAATGCACCTCGACGTGACCCATTTGTTGCTCCACGATCTCGCAACCCGGCGGAATGGCGAACTCCTGACGACAAACCGATCTGCTTCCGGTGCCACCGCGTTGGACATGTCTCCCGCTACTGCCGTGCCTCCTGGACGCCGCCACATAGGAGCCAGTTTTTCGCACCTTATAGCCCATATGAAGATCTTCGCCGGTATCCGTCCAGCCGTACCGCCCCTGCTTTCGACACGTCTAACAGCCGCCTTCCTGCTCGTTCTCCGTCCCCTCAACGCCGTCGTTCCCCGTCGCCCCAGCCACGCCGCCATCACTCGCCGCCTAACTTTTCATCGTACCCGACGGAAAACTAGACAGTGCAGCCCCTGGAGGTAGTGCTGCATCATCCCTGTCTGAACCAAACCCTCCATTGACGCTTCATACGAACAAAAATCTTGTCGATGTACACGTGGACGGTATTTCTCTGTCGGCACTAGTCGACACTGGCGCTCATGTGTCCATAATCAGCGTTCATCTTTGCCGCCGCTTAAGAAAAGTACTCACGCCCCCTGCTACCGAAGCTGTACGTGTGGCCGATGGCGGCACTGTTCCTGTCATTGGCATGTGTACGGCTCGCATACGCATCGCCGACCGTTACATCCCTGTTCTATTCACGGTGCTCCAGAACTGTCCTCATGACCTCATCTTAGGGATGGACTTCCTGTCGACCCATTCTGCTCTGATCGACTGTTCGCTGGTACTCTTTGCTTAGACCTTCCTCTTCAGCCGGATATTCACCCTGAACCTCAACACGGCCTTTCTGCCACAGACTTCCTCCGCTTACCGCCTAAAGCCCTCACATTCACCGAATTCGCCACGACCTCACCCGTATTGGATGGGAATTACATCGTCACGCCGATTCCTGATGTCCTACTGGCACGTGACGTCACCGTCCCACACTGCATCGTAACTGTAGCCTCCAACCGGACCCGTCTACCCGTCATAAATTTCGGCTTCACAAAGCAAGTCCTCCCTGAAGGCATCCTAATTGCCACGTTGCGGTCCTTAGCCGATGATCACGTCACCACTTTCGCAGCCGACGCATGCCCCAATTTTCCTTGTCGCCCACTCGATGCCACATGCCTCGACATGTCAATACGTCCCATGATCGACCCTGACCTTCCCCCAGCGCAATCAGCCGCTCTCGCACGCCTTCTAGCTTCCTACCGTGACATCTTCGACCTTGACGACCGCCCACTCGGCCAAACTTCTCTTGTAAAGCACCGCATCAACACCGGTGATGCTGCTCCCATTCACCGTCGACCGTATCGCGTGTCCGCGTCGGAGCGCCAGATTATTCAAGCTGAAGTGAATAAGATGTTAACTAAAGGCATTATTGAGCCCTCATCAAGCCCATGGGCGTCACCCGTCGTCCTGGTTAAAAGAAGGACAACACATGGCGTTTTTGCATCGATTACCGGCATCTAAATCGAATCACCAAAAAGGACGTGTATCCTTTACCACGTATTGATGACGCCCTCGATTGTCTCCACGGCGCACGCTACTTTTCATCCATCGACCTTCGTTCTGGTTATTGGCAGATTGCCGTAGACGAGAAAGACCAAGAAAAGACCGCCTTCATCACTCCAGATGGCCTATACCAATTCAAGGTTATGCCCTTCGGCCTATGCAATGCCCCCGCCACGTTCGAACGTATGATGGACTCTCTGCTACACGGGTTCAAATGGTCAACATGCCTGTGTTACCTAGACGACGTCCTCGTATTTGCACCTACGTTTGAGACCCACCTTGAGCGTCTGTCGGCCATTCTCGACGTCTTCCGCAAAGCCGGCCTCCAGTTGAACTCCTCGAAGTGTCACTTCGGCCGCCGACAGATTACCGTGCTGGGCCACCTTGTCGATGCTTCTGGTGTGAGACCGGACCCTGAGAAAATTCGTGCCGTCACGAATTTCCCAGTACCCCAATCCGCCAAAGATGTCCGGAGCTTTGTGGGACTTTGCTCCTACTTTAGGCGGTTCGTGAAAGATTTTGCGGCAATCGCCCAACCACTTACCGATCTTTTGAAGAAAGGCGTTCCATTTTCGTGGGGGGTCCACTCAAGCTGCCGCCTTCTCTCACCTCATAACACTTTTGACGACGCCCCCTATCCTCGCCCACTTTGACCCATCTGCCCGAACTGAGGTCCGAACTGATGCCAGTGGTCACGGTATCGGAGCCGTTCTCGCCCAATGCCAACAGGGACACGACCGCGTTATCGCGTATGCTAGCCGCCTCCTTACACCTGCAGAGCGTAACTATTCGATCACAGAGCGAGAATGCCTTGCTCTTGTCTGGGCGGTCTCAAAATTCCGTCCATATTTATATGGCACTCACTTTTCCGTCGTCACCGACCACCACGCGCTCTGCTGGCTTTCATCCTTAAGAGATCCTACAGGTCGACTTGGTCGCTGGGCTCTGCGACTGCAAGAATACACCTTTTCTGTGATATACAAGTCTGGACGCCTGCACCAGGACGCCGATTGCCTTTCTCGCTATCCAGTTGACCCATCGGCCACCATACCTGACAACGACGCCTGCGTGTGCTCCGTTTCTCAACTGAACCACATAGCCGACGAGCAACGCCGTGATGCAGCCCTACGAGCTATCATTGAGCGCCTCGACTCCTCCCCATCGAACCGATCCTATCGCTCGTTCGTACTCCAGAATGGCACATTATACCGGCATAACTTCCATCCAGACGGCCCATCTCTGCTGCTTGCCATACCCAAACACCTCCGCTTGGCTGTACTCCACGAACTTCATGACGTTCCTACTGCCGGTCACCTGGGTGTGTCCCGCACATACGACCGGATTCGCCGTCGCTTCTATTGGCCAGGTCTGGCACGGTCCGTCAGAAGATACGTCGCGGCGTGTGAGGAATGTCAGCGCCGCAAAACACCATCGACGCTTCCGGCTGGGCGCCTTCAACCACTCGATATTTCTACTGAACCTTTCTTTCGCGTCGGCTTGGACTTACTCGGCCCTTTTCCTCTGTCTTCTGCTGGCAACAGGTGGATAGCTGTGGCCACAGACTACGCCACACGCTACGCAATCACACGCGCCCTTCCAACAAGTTGCGCCACTGACGTCGCCGATTTTCTTCTACACGACGTGATCTTGCAACATGGTGCTCCACGCCAGCTGCTCACGGACCGAGGCCGCACATTTCTATCGAAAGTCATAGCGGACATCCTACGCTCTTGTGCAACACGCCACAAGCTCACTACGTCGTACCATCCGCAAACAAATGGCCTCACAGAACGCCTGAACCGAACCCTAACTGACATGCTTGCAAAGTACGTTTCCTCAGATCACTCTGACTGGGACATCGCTTTACCATACGTGACATTTGCCTACAATTCTTCGCGCCACGACACGGCTGGTTACTCCCCTTTTTTCTTGCTGTTCGGCCGCGAACCCACATTACCCCTCGATACGACGATTCCGTTACCAGCAGCTCCAACTTCACAATATGCTCTGGACGCCATCAGCCGGGCCGCCCACGCACGCGAAACCGCTCGTGCTCGCCTTCTGACCTCCCAAGCAAACCAACGGCGTCGGTACGACCAACGACACCGCGATGTGCACTTTTTCGCCCGGTTCGTTGGTTCTGCTGTGGTCTCCGACCAGGCACGTTGGCCTGTCTGACAAGCTGCTCTCTCGGTACACAGGGCCCTACAGAGTGCTTCGTGAGGTGACTCCCGTCACTTATGAAATCACTCCTGCTGCCTCGCCGTCTTCATCCACCCCTAGGGCCAGCGACATCGTACACGTCGCACGCCTGAAGCAGTACCACTCGCCCAATGATCTTGACATCTAGATGCGCCGAGACGGCGCCTTTGCCGACGGGGGTTATGCTACCTGTAGGCTGCCACAAACCATAGTGCGAATGCGCGTGTGCGCCCGACGAAGAAGATGAGGCTCGCTGGCTGCTCGAGCTCGGAGCCAGACTGGCCAGTGCTGCAACCGCTCTTGCAAATATATTTTTCGAATATATTCGCAATACTTTGTCTCGTTACTCACGTAACAATATTGACAACGATGCCCAAGATATTGACAGATATTACAGTTACTAGACGCAACATGCTCACCTCTACAAATGGACTGGACGAGTCATGCCTGCAGTGGAGGTAGTAGTTGAGCACAGCTGGAACAAGGAAAAAAAAATGTTATGTGACTCCCGACTGCACAGCAAGGCAGCAGACAGGTGTTTCAAGCCTGCCAACGAGAAAATTACTGCCATTCACAGCCCTTTAGCCTTGCCAAATAAAGGGACAGACAGCCGCTAAAAACACGAATTGAGATAACCTCACTAGTGGAAAGATTGTCCTTATTGCATTGACTAAAACAAGCCCTGTTCTTACTCATTAAATTTGGATTTATATTTTTGTTTTTTCACTGAGGTCACGAAAAATGCCGTTGATGCCCCATGCGAGAAAAAAAGAGAAGGCCGATATGATACCAATCACGTGATCTTTTACTCGCGTGCACTGTTTAGGGTTTCTACATTGGTGTTAAAATGATGTACACTCTTTTTAATATTATTATTTTTCTTTAACCTAAAATGTGCAGACACGCTTTTGTTTGTAGTGAGCAGAACAGTAGCGCCACCTTTTGTTGACGTACGATTCGCTGCTCATAAGCGACATGTTAGTTGAGAAACAAGCGACACCTGCCGACCAATCAGAGAAGTACTAGCAACGTTTGGCTCGCAAAATGGTAAAGGCACTTCATGTACAATGAGCGCTCGAAGAACTTATTGTGCCCACTTGGTACTTTCAAAAATGGTTAAAGATGTTGTGGCGACCATGATTCCAGCAAAAGGGCCGGCTGTCGCAACAAGGCCCATCGAACCTCCACCGAGGCGGCGTTCGTCGGACTGACGGGCCTGTCATCAAGATCGACCAGATGAAGGTGAGCCCTTTCCTCGCATGAGGGCCCCAACCAGAACTCTCGCCTTGCACTCTCGCATTCACCCAAGTCAAACATTACGTGACGCTTCCCCTCCGAGCTGTGGACGCGCTCTTGCGTGAGCATTATGAACTCCCATTACCCCTCTTCCGCGGCGCCATTGTAATTCTCAAGTGTATTCTTTTGCTGTTCTATTTTTTTTTTCGCAGCAGTTGCAGAGCGAGGCTGAGGCTAGCTGTTGCCCATTGCATGACGTCTTTGCATGCATGGGCAACGACCGGCTGCCTTTGCAGACCGGTATATAGGGTGAATTAAGGAAAGGAGGATGTGGGGATCTGAGGCGCGCCCACGACCATTTCGCAAGCATTTCGCCACACGGCCACACCATTTTGCTTTTCTGCTCTAGTTACGGCGCCACGTGCGGGCGCAACACCTGTTACGTGCGCGCTGAGGGAGCTGTCTCTCCTCCGTGGTCGGCGCCGGGTAAGCACGTGTTTTCCTTCGTCCGCGTCACCTTTGGGAATCGCCGGACTGTAGCCTGCCTGGGGTGGCCTTTGGCACCTCGGCAGGCGTGTTTACTCGAGTGCTAGCTTCGGTAGCATACGCTAAGCCCACAGCGGTGCCTAGTGCTTGAAGTGGTCGTACCACGCCGGGCCGCACTTGCCATAGGCCTACGCGTACCAGGTTTGCCCTAACACTCGCGACCAGGCTCAGTGGCCATCGTGAGAGTGCGCAGCATAGCCGTGAGGGACCTTTTCGCGACCGGCGTGTCAAAGCTCGCCATTGCCAGCTGTGACGTGCTCGCGGTTTCCCTTTATTGTGAACGTCCGCGTGCGGGTGCCTTTGCTACCTGCGTCCCGGGAGCGGACGTTGCATTGTTGTTCAGGGTGCCGCCAAAGGCAATAAAGTGTTGTGTGTTTTGTATTGGAACACTGTCTGTTTGCCGCGCCGCGCTAAACGCCTTATTAGTTGAGGTGCGCGGAGCGGTGTGCTACACGCGAGTAAGTGACGGAGTCGCGGCCCTGTGACTCGCTAAGCGTGAACCCACGGTGATCATCCGCTACGGTGAGTAGCGGGGTCACCATAATGTCAAAACGAAGATTCTTGACCTCATTCACATTTACTCCTGTGAAAGCGGCACACTGAATGTAACGAACAGTTTACTTCTCAGTGTTGCTGGAGGAGGAGGACAAAAAATTTTTTTAGTGACTTTTCAGATAGCAAAATTCTGCTTACAAGATATTCACACATGCAATTGCACCGTAAGAAATCGTGTTGGCAAAAAAAAAGTAGGTTTTAGGACCTTTAATTCAAAACGAATCTAGCCATAATGAAAGACTTCGATATATTTTGGCATTTAAGAACAGTGCTGTAGCAAAAGAAAAAAAAAATGCCGAGTAATGCTTACCATTGTCCACCATTCCACTGGACTGCTTCTGAAGGAATGGCTCCGGATCCAGGCAAAAGTCCGAGCCGGCCTACACCGCAAAAACAGAACCACATTTTGAAACTATCATCAATAAACGCTTCGTTGACAAGAAGTACAAAAAATCAACAAGTACCCACACGTCGCACAGATAAAATCCTCCTGAAAAGCTGTGCTGAACGTCTTTGCTTGCGTAAGTACTACACTAAACTTTTATTTAAATCGGGTGATTAACCTACACACCCATTTCAGGCAACACAAGTTTTCAATAACACTTGGACAAACAAATGGAGACAATCCCACTCAAAAGAAGAAGTAATATACCGAAATCGTCTGCTGCAGACGATTTCCAGATTGTTCACTACCTAGAAGAAGCTTTGCTATCATTTTGCGACGGCAGTGTTAACTCGCTATGGACACGATTCAAATTTTATTGCCACTTCTGCATTCGCAATTTCGTTCCAGATAAACTTAAAAAAGTTGTCCGTACAAACCCCTGGATAACGTGCGATCTAATTCACCTAAAACGCAAAATTAAAAGGCGAAGTAAGCAAAAAATAGCTAATGATGTAATTCTGCACGATCTAAGAGATACTTTAGCATCCAAGTTGAAGGAGGCTAGGGAACATTTTTACACCGAGACACTAGGCCGCTTTGCGTCAGAGAGTCCACGAAAATTTTACCAGTTCTTACAAAACAAAGACAACCGTATCCCTGATGAAATAATGAACGGAGAAACCGCTGTCACAAATAAAAATGAAATAGCAAACGCATTTAATTCCTACTTTCAGAGCGTTTTCTCAAGATCACAAAACTTGAGTATTATGACGGTGCCAGGTCCTTCAAGCCTAATAAATATATCCTTGGAAGGGGTGAGAGAACTATTATTGCGGCTAGACGTAAAAAAATCGACCGGCCCTGACGGTATCCCAGCTGTTTTTCTAAAGAGGTATGCTGAAATTATAGCTAGATTCCTAGTAATAATATTTGATGTTTCGATTAAAACTAGTTCAGTGCCCGACGATTGGCTGCTAGCGCGTGTAATTCCGGTATTTAAGAAAGGTAACAGATTATTAGTCAGCTATTATCGACCAATCTCCCTTACCTGTATTTGTTGCAAATTACTTGAACATATTATAGCGAAATATTTAAATACTTTTCTTGATCAAAATAATGTAATTCACAGCACGCAACATGGCTTCCGACGGGGATTATCTACCACCAAACAATTATTAGCAACTGTTAACGAGTTCTCCAAAGTTCTGGACAAGTCTGGACAGGTTGATGTCATCTTTATGGACTTTTCCAAGGCCTTTGACAAGGTCCCGCATATCAAGCTAATAGATAAAATGAAGGATATTGGCATTCCTCCGGAAATAATTAACTGGGTCATAGCATACTTAACGAACAGAAAACAGTACGTAGATATAAACGGTTTCACCTCTGGTTATTTGGGGGTGTTATCTGGAGTCCCGCAAGGGTCAGTTCTCGGGCCAATACTATTTAATATTTATATTAACGATTTAGTTCAAGCCATCCGACCTGGCGTGTCTGTTAAGTTATTTGCAGACGATTGCATAATTTTTAATACCATAAATTCTATCTCTGACCAGCGTGACTTGTGTGAGAACTTAATCTACATAAAAGTATGGTGTAAAAGGTGGGAAATGGTAATTAATTTTGAGAAAACTGCATATTTATGTCTGAGTAACAAAATCCGAAAACTGGAGTTTACTTATAATGTAGGTGGATACGCTATCAGGCAAGTAGAAGAATTCAAGTACTTGGGCGTAACGATTACATCGAAGCTTAGCTGGACAGCACATATTGATGGTATATGTTCTGCTGCCAGGAGAAAATTAGGCTTTCTAAAATATAAATTGGGTCGTTCTTCTAGTTCTCTAAAACTTAGAGCCTATAAAGTCATAGTTCGTCCTTCTCTTGAATATGCCAGCATTGTGTGGGACCCCCACACAGCTGGTAATATACAGAAAATAGAAAAAATTCAACGATTAGCTGCTCGATTTATATACAACCGGTATAGATGTCGCGATTCGCCGTCAGCCCTGTTGCAGGATGCGATCCTCCAACTTTTGGCCGATCGAAGGAAAACTGCACGGCTTAACTTTTTCCGCCTTTTATACTTTTCCAGATCAGGATTGCATGCACCAGATTACATAACACAGGACACAACCAGGGCTTCACGTCATAAACATAGTCGTAGCATTACACCTATATTTGCACGCAGTAACATTTACAAGTATTCATTTTTCCCGAGAACTGTCTCTGATTGGAATGCTCTGCCCCATGATTCCCCTATGCTCGACACGCCGAGATGAAACTATACCCTTTTCTTGTCGCTTAAGTCTACTTCTTTGCCTGTATTTGTCCCTTGTTTTTCACGAATTTTTAATGTACATGAATTTTGTTCTGCAGTGAATGTATACTGCAGCGGAAGTGTATGTATGTAGAATTTTGAACTGTATTGCCCTCTCCTGCATGGACCATACTTGGTCCGCAGTATGTGATAAATAAATAAATAAAAAATACCGATCTCCCCATTTATTTTTGGCCATTATAAGTACATTAGGTGACACATTGTCACTTGAACAAAAATCGACATGTAACTGCTGCTGGGCTGGGTATAACTGGAACTGCACATCACCACATAATAAGAAGTACCATAGGTTTGTGTCATGTTTTCTGTGAATGATTGTTATAGGGTCTAACGTTCGACATTAAAGAATTACTACCTATATCGAGCCTTAATTCCAGCACCCCCCTATAACATCAGCAATTGCAGCCTCTTATTTTTTCGTAAATGGACCACTTCGGCTGCAAAAAGTTTGCTTAAACTGGCCATGTTAAGTCGCTGGAAAGTACACAGCGATTAAACTTTGACTGTATTCATTATGCCGGCTCTTGGCGATGTCAATAAAATCTACAATGTCAGAGCAAGTTGGTTACAAAACCTCGAGACGGTGTTGCCTCCTGAGCTTTTTTCTTCTCACATTTTCCGGTACACTGAGCGGACTTTTGAGGCGAGAAGGGCACTCTTGGTATCGTGATAGGGTGATCAACTAATACGCGAGATATCAAGGTTCTGTCTACACTTGGTGACAACTTTTCTTGGCAGTATTGCGGAAGCTACAGAACCAAACACTTGCCCGCGCAAGGGCCGAGAAAGAGTAGCTATTCTTATTTTCCGGTTTTCAGAGTTACCTGGCACGAATAAATAAAGCTTTCATCATCAAAAAAATAAAACAAACACGAGAAGCTGCTGGTGCGAAAAAAAATTGTTCGCTCTATTTTATTTCTATTCATTTATTTTCTCACTTCTCGGACAGCACCACGTTTTCCACAGCCTGTTCTCACAGTAAACATGGAAGTTTCGATGCTGACTAGACCACGAGCAGCCACGACCTCACCGCTTCATTCTCCGAGAAAAATGTACTCAAAGTGTGATGGAAAGCGGCTATGGAAACAAACACAACCAGTTATCTGCATGTCTGTGCCGGGATACGGTGCCGTCAGCCCGGATAGTCGACGAATGATGCAAGCAAGCATAACCACAACTGGAACTGAAATCGGCTGCAAGGTACCGCACTACGCGTGTTGTAAAAAAAGTGTGCAGATGCCCCACTCTTGTTGTTTTCACTACGCTGACAAGATAGGTTGTCGCCGAGAATAGCATTCCTTAAAGATAATAACTAATCACTAGAAGTAGAAACAGCTTTGGCAAGCTCACCACGCAGATGCCTAGATAGAGGGAGACCAGCACCCAACACAGCACCACGGAAAGCAGACCCAAGACCGAAAACCTGCCGAGAAAAACAAAAAAGGATGATGCAATCGCACAGGAAGGAATCGTGACAGACTCATGTTAACCTGCAGCCCATAAATGGCACAGTCATAGAAACAGGGGCTGTGGTTGGAAAAGGCTGTAGTTGGAAAAGAAGTTGAATCACGAGATCACGATATTCTACGTACAACATAAAATACACTTGGGAAGGAAGAACGACACTTACAAAAGCATCTGCTCATGCCTTTTAAGCATCCTCGCACGGTCAGCATGCCACAGAGCTAAACCAGCTATGATTTTTCATTTCGAAATTTATCATAACACTTAACCAACAAGCCTGAACACCCATGATCTAAAAATGATGTTGCACGTTGCTTTTCGAATCTGCTTTCCCACTATCCCACAAGCGTGTCAACTACTACCGTTCTATAACACAAATGCTGATTGATTGACTGACTGATTGATGCACACACACTTTCAACATGAATACAACTCAGTCGAGCCTACACAAACTCAAACTCCCTACGCTTTGCGAGTTTCGGCAATGCCACTCTTCCGTCGTCTAAACGAGCACGAGCTAGTAGAGGTGTGGGCGATTTTATGACATGTGCTGGCAGCCAGGCCTTAAGACGGTACGAGACAGGTTTTGCAATCTGCGTTTTGCAATCTTCGCTGCAATCGATCGCTCCTGTCCTGTCGACGCTCTGCATATCACATCACCTGATGTAAAGAGAGCGAGGCTGCAGATCGATAAAATTCGCATGAACATGCATACGAGAGATAAGTTGCGGGACTCACAGAATGAGCAGGCAGCGTGAGTGTCGGATGACACCCCACAGCAGCAGCAGGCATACCAGAATGAGCACGCACAGAAGGCCTATTGTTGCAGGCCACCTGGTGAGACAACAACAGCAGTGAATGTAGGCCTAGTCAGGAAACAGTTACGTCCATTTCCTTCTGCCTCATCATAGTGGCATCCAACTGTGTACACATGCCAGAATAAAAAAGAAAGAGTGTTAATAAACCCACGTGCACAACAGACACAGTCAAATCGTCATAGCAGACTACAAATTTGACACTCCCATGTGCCTCAGCTAAATGAAACATTTGTGGGCAGTATGCTAGTGAGTAAATGTAAAACAGCACTATTTGTACGCGCTTCTTCGTTGTCCATGTTGAATTTGCACTTTAAGGGGAGATGCGAGTCGAAAGGTCGCGTTTTTAGCGAAATTTCTCGTATTTATGATTTTTATTGCATTGTAATCTTTAAACCTTCTTTCATCTGTGAAAATTTCAAAACTAAATTCGAACCGCAAAATGCAAAAAAATGTGTATGAAGGCATCGCGGTGGCTCAAAATTTCGTGAATTTGCGCCGATATTGGTCATCTTTGACTGCGCGCTGCTCCTCGTCGCAGTGCCGCCCGCCATCGCGATCGGTTGGGAAAGTTGCGTCCGGCCTTCTTCTTACAGCTCCGACGACCGCCAGTTTCGTACGTGGGCAAAAAAAAAATAAAAAACGAGGCCTTTTTATCACGTGGTTTGAGCGGTTTGAAACGCGCGGCACCCTAAGCCACATCGCCTTTGGCTACCGAGTCATCGTCAACTGTGTTGGTGGCGGCCATCGGCATTTGGTCCGTCTGCTTTTCTGCGCGTCTACGCATATTTCCGCGATGACAAGCCCGAAAAAGTGCAACGTGAGACCGCAGAAGTTTCGAACGAAGCACAAGTTCAAGGGAAGGCGGCGTAAAGCGCCTCAAACGACGGCGACGAACGAGAACGCGCCTACGTGTGCTAGGCCTGACGGCGGCATCGACGAGTGCGCGAGCGACAAGTGGCTGCGATGAAGGGATTGACGTTGCGCTTTCTTTCGTCAGTGCTTCGGAAAAGAAGCTCGGCTTCTTCGAAAAAGACGAAAGACAGCGCGGTGAGGTTTGTGCAACGACAGTTTTGTGCGACACCCTCTTGCTGACGGCACTTGTGGCAGGTGCGGCATGCCCTGCTTGCGGTATTCAAAAACTTGCCGTTCGAGAGCCGGCAGAAAAGCGCAAGGGACTTTCGTCGCTCCTCGAACTTCATTGCGAAAACAGCGAATGCTCAGCGACTGTTCTTTCGTGCTCCTATTCGTCACTGCGTGTTACGGCAGACGGCAGCAGCCGAGTGAGCCAACGGTACGACAGTGGGAGCTCCCGAGATAGTTTCGCTGTAAATGTGAAGGCGGTGGTGGTGGCTGCACGCGCTGTCGGCATTGGGCATGAGCAATTGTCGAGATTTTGCTCCATTATTAGACTCCCAAAGCCAATGCACCACCGAGAATTTTTTCCGATAGCAAAGAAGGTGCACACCGCTGCCATGGCAGCTGTGAGTGAAAACTTGCGCCGATCCAGAGAGTTGACGAAAGAAGTAGCAGGCGAAACTGACGTGGCTGTTATGTTCGACGGCACTTGGCAGAAGAGGGGCCACAAAAGCCACAACGGGATTGGCGCAGTTATCTCCTTAGATACTGGCCTCTGCTTAGACTTCGAGGTCATATCAAATTACTGCCTGACATGCAGTAGGCACAAGGATATGGGCCCAGACGAGGAAGTGTGGCAGGCATTCCATGGCCCAGTCTGTGAAAAAAATGCAGACTGTTCCTCCCATGCCATGGAAACTGAGGCTGCAATGCGCATTTGGCAGAGAACATTGACTTATGACACCCCACTGCATTTCACGACATTCTTGAGTGACGGTGACAGCAAAGCATATAGTGCAGTTGCAGAGTCAAAAGTCTATGGTGCTGTCAACATAAAAAAAGAAGACTGCACTAATCATGTGGCCAAGAGACTTGGCACCGCGCTACGGAAGCTGCATGTGCCATTACCACGAGGGCAGAAAATGAAAGAGCCAGCCATTCAGAAGCTCCAAACATACTATCAGATTGCCATAACAAGCAACAGGGGGAGTGTACGGGATATGTACACTGCAGTATGGGCTTCGTACTTCCACTCATGCTCTACTGACAATGCTGGCAGCCACAAGTTTTGCCCTGCAGGAACAGAGTCGTGGTGCAAACATCAACGCGCTGAAGCACTTGGTGAACCTGCACCACGCCACACACCTCTCCTGACAAAAGCACAGGGATTGGCTGTTTTGCCCATTTATAAGCGGCTAACGGATGAGAAGCTCCTTGCTCGATGCATCAAAGGGAAAACCCAGAACGCATCCGAATCCCTGAACAGCGAAATTTGGCTACTTTGCCCCAAGACTAAGTTTGTCTCCCGAAGGGTTGTCGAGACTGCCGCAGCTATGGCAATCCTGTGGTTCAACAAGGGTCATGCTACTTTCGAGCACATCCTGGAAGAGCTCAACATACTGCCATCTAGAGATTTAGTTACTTTCAGTGATTGCCGCGATGCGAGGCGCATCAAGAGAATGTCCGAGCGTCTGACAGCAGAAGCAAGGGCCCACCGTCGTCGTGGAGTGAAAAGGGCACGTCTAGAAGAGAGTGCTCGCAACGACCGTGAGGGCACAACCTATGCTGCAGGACAGTTCTATTAACTTGCAGTGCTTTTCAAAGTTCTGTTGAACATTATGGCCAAAGATTATGCATTTCTAACAGCTCTGTGATAAAAAAAAAGGTTTCAAACTTTCAAATGCGTTTTTCTCCTTTTGCAGTTTTGTGTGATCTGTGCTTCTTATACACGCTAGTTCGTATACTTAGAATTGTCATACATCTATGAAATTTTGCACATAGCATGATGAAGGCCCATAGAGTGCAAGTATCTATTCAGATTGTCAGTGCTGCTTGATTATGTTTTCCAAAAATTACATAACATTGAAAGCCCTTGGCAACTATAGCCATAGTAAATTTTTCTATTTTATTATTGTATTTCACCTTTTTACACACAATATTTATATAGATTTTTGCACTCTACAGTTCCAAAGGATCATAGTCAGCTATATCTGCATGCTTTATCTCAAATTTTTATAGGTCAGAATTGTTGCATAACAATGGCCATAATTTTGCAGTATCAGACCTGCAGAAAGAAAACCAAGCAATCTGCATGAAAATAAATGACATATTTGAAAAGAAGAAAAAAAAAACTCTATTAGCATGCCAATTTGTGTTAAATTCAGACTCTTATTAAAGAAAATCGTTTTTCGAGTAGCATCTCCCCTTAAAGGCATACTCAAGATTAATCAAGACAAACTGGCCTGGCGGCCCGGTTTCGCTATTTGTAATGAAGGACAAGAAACTACTGCATTAACAGATACATGGTAGTCAGACCTTGTTTTAATGAAGTCGAATCCGATATAGAAGTAACCTTATTGTATTCAGGAAATCATTAAAACATATGCTCGTGTCACCATTTTAAAGACAAGGCTATCACTTGATTCGGCATGATCGAACATTTGTGCCAAAATATTTTTTATTATCAAGCAGACCTTTCTTCTCGTATTTAGTATGTGGCTAAAACAAGGTGAAACATGTTTGATGGTTAAAATAATCAACCTTTTTAAATAAGTTTGCAACGTCCAGGACAGCTGAGAGCAAGTGGTTCCAAATAATACTTTTCATTACCACTCTATTTGCTCTGTCACACTGCGCGATGGAATATAATCAACATTTGAAATGATCCCTTCCGCAACATCGGCTCGATCGCAGCTAACAAACACCCATATGTATACCCAAACACCCATATGTGAACACCCAAACAAACATATGTATACATGTGTCAACAAACACAACGGCAAGCGAAGCCCACAATTCAGGACCATACAACATCAGGCTCCAAATCTCAACAAAGGACTCTATGGAACACACATCTAAATCAAACTTGTGGCTGCAATAATGTGAACCGAACGAAGGGACTGGATGACAACTAATGACAGAGACTCACCGAAAGAGCTCAATCAACTCAAGAGCTCTGGGAAGTGGGCTGAGAGTCAGGTGGCCAATGCGAGAGTGCAGCTCCTGGGCGCGCCCGGCACCCACGCTCAGGTTTCCTTTGATGAGCTCCAGCGAGCGGTCGAGCACGTTTCGGGCAGCGGCATCCGGCATGGGGCCAGCCAGAGCCTCGGTCAGTCCCTGCAGCTGGTCCTTGGCATTCTGGCCCAAGGCTCGCTCCAGGTATTGCGTCTGCGACAAAGTCATGGTGGCCGTTCACTCTTCCATAAGACTTGCCGATTACCTGGCACCACACTTGAGAATGTGCATCACTTTTAACAACGGAACTGTCAAAGCTGGCAGTAAGACGTCTGCTAACAAAAAAAAATATCCTTGCAGCACTGTTGCCATAAGCAAGCACCACAGATGCGTGCTACTTGTCGCCTCAGAGCCATTGCAACCACCAGTTTTTTACACCATGGCTGAGGGACAACGATTTCAACTCATTGCAACTGGCAAGCTTTACACGTATTCCAGATCTGCCGATCGCAGACGCTTGGCTGCTGCTTCTTCGGCTGCGCACACAAGATCTAATCATCACCGGAGTTGAGGTTCCTGTGCTGCTGAACGACGAGCTGAGCAGATTCATCGTGCCTTCCAGCATTGTTTTAATGAATATGCTAACCTTAGTAAAGTGCTCACAAATTCAAATGCAACATGAAGATGTTAACATATTGACACACTACAGCTCCATTTGACATGTTGCTGCAACTTTCGCTCCTTAACCTTATGTTGGCTCTAACTAGCATATTTACTCGCATAACTCGCATACTTTGGAATTTAGAGATCCGAAAGGGATCTGCACTATTTTTACAGTTTTAGCAAATGCATTCTAAATAATGCACAATACGTAGTCCTAATGAGGGAAAAGAATGAAAATATTAATATAATGGTAGTGACGGACTAAGAATCATACAACAGACTTGAGCTATTACTGCCCAGCTACGACAACCAAGCTTTACAGCA